AGAAATCACACTCTGTATATATATATATATATATATATATATATATATATATATATATATATAGTATATATATACACAGTATTTATCAAAGTAAATGATCAAAGGTAAAAGTTTACAAAGGTTTAAAGGATATCATGCACAAGTTGTTAATGTTTGAAATCCAATGGTAAAGATTTGGAAAGTGAAAAAAAAAAAAAAAGAAACATCAGAAAAGAAAGACTTGGTGAATAATAGTAAAGGTAAACAACATTTTTTTTCAACATTAGTGGAAGTCTTGCGCATCTTAGATGTTGGTATTATTTGAACACACTGTTGTGCAGCATCGTTCTCACTGTCTTGTTTCAGACAAACCATAACTAGAACATAAAATATGAATTTCTGTTAAATCTATGCGATCTTTTAGCAAAATCAACATGACCATGTTTGAAACCACGGCAGCTGAAAAGACAAAGGACACAGAATACCCATGATGTCACACTCTGTGCCAGTTTGTACTCTCTCCCTCCTCCCCCCCTCCCTCACTTGTTTCTCTCTCCTCCTGACTGTTTGCATCACTGCAGTCATCGTTACGAGGAAGCCTGGGAGTGGCCGGAAGGAGGAGATCCAGAGGAGAGAAGGACAAACAAGGAGGATCAGGATAAAACCAGTCAGACCAGACCACTACCTGGATTACCATTTCCCAGATTTTTTTGCATAGCATCATCTCATTTAAAACCGCAGGTATACTTTGATTTCTGGAGTTCTTTAAGAAATAGGATTTCCATCATGTGTCCTGGAATCATTTAACAGCAAAGGCAAGGGGAAACATGAGCAGAAAAACAGTAACTTTGAAGTGGTATTTATCAGATTTAATTATTTGTTTATTGCTCTATTATAATGAGACATTCTCCACCTTCAACCTAAATAAGGACTGAGCAGAAGGAGACGCACACCAGAACATTTTAAATCGATAGCTAATTTACTAATATTTTCCACAGAATCTTTTTAAACGCTTTCAGACTGACAGATATTCTCGAGTAAACTGCATGCAAGTTGTTAACAACTGTTATCAATTTAGCACGACTGCATGCACTGATGAGATGTGTGTATGGATATAAAGTGTAATAAGACACTAAGTTTTTATTAAAACAACATCAAATCACAACCACATTTTTTTTATTTCATACATTTCACCAAATGCATGACATTGGTTTCTGATGTCGGTCTAATAGACAGAAATAACACATATACAATATAACTGACATGTGACGTGTTGAGGAAGGACACAGTTTGAAAATCACATTGATTGAATTACACTAGTAATAGACTGGCTGGAGTGGCTCTCACTGAGAGAGAGAGAGAGAGAGAGAGAGAGAGAGAGACAGAGAGGGTTCAGTATTGCCCATCAGGCAGAACTTTATTCTTCTGATGTCACATTGAGTCTGCAGGATAGTAAAGAGGTAAACGTTAAGGAAATCCTCATTACTTCAAGAGAACTTTAACAACAGGACAGTGTGTGTGTTGTGAGCTTCTGTCAGAAGGACCGATACATGAATCCCACTGATGAATGAATTCCTGTTCAGGTGTCAACATGGCCGACAGATCGGTGTCAAGGGCAGAAGTGGAAAGCTCATTCCAGAAGTTTGCTGTTCATGGAGACTCCAAGGCCACGGGGAAGGAGATGAATGGGAAAAACTTCGCTAAGCTCTGCAAAGACTGCCACGTCATCGATGGGAAGAATGTCACCGCTACGGATGTCGACATCATTTTCAGCAAAGTCAAGTAAGACATTGGTCCAGGGCCTGCAGCGCTGTCAACCCACTGTGACCAAGAGGGGGCAGCAGCTGATCCAAAAAAGTTGATTTTTTTGTTAGCTACGATGGTCAACTGTTACCGGTGACTGTGATGCTAACACTCAAAAACCATAACTCGTGAGACACCAATGCTGAAAAAGATTTTTATTTGTATTATATTTTGTTTAATACAATAAGTCTCATACAGGATATTTACTGTAAACAACTGTCATGTGTATGTGTAGTTCACACACAAGTAGTTGCAACACTGCCATAATGTAATTATTTAAAAAAATATTTAGTTAAAAGATAAAGTGAAAGCACATATTTATAGTTTAATTTCAAGGGACAAGTAAAAAATGTTTGTATTATTCTGTCCTTTTCTTTATTTGGATTCTGTTTCTAGGGCGAAGTCGGCTCGAGTAATCACATTTGAGCAGTTCAACCAAGCCCTCACTGAGTTGGCTCCCAAACGCTTTAAGGACAAAAGTAAGGAGGAGGCTGTCCAACAGATCTATGATCTCATTGCTGGGAAGGGACCAGCCAATGTTGGAATCACCGTGAGTACAAATCAATTTGTCCTCCATTACTGTTGTCAAGATGGACTGAATTAATGGACTGCTCTCAAATATGGAACGCTGTTATTTAATTGTCTCACAAACAATAGTTATAAATGATGATTCAATTCACTGAGTCATTGATTTCCAACTACTGAGCTGAGCTGCAGGAGATCATCAGGTAAACTGTGGAAAGTGGGCCAATTTCACTTAATTGGTCTGAAGATTATTGTTTATTTATTGTCGACACTTTGTCTTCAGTCATTCATGTGACAAGATACAGGCAGAACTATTTAAAACCCTTCCACTAGGGGTCAGAAAATGACCATAAAAACAAACCAAAAAAAGATTAAGATGTGTTAAAGATCTGTTTTGTGTCTCTCTTCAATTCCTGCGAGTACATCAGGGATGTGTTCAACTACACACGCCAAAGTTTCATAATAAGTAAAATTTGAACAAGTTGATTTATCTTGTTTTTCATTGATAAATTCATTCATGAATTATGAATTATCTGCTGGCACCATGGTTGAAAACATCTGGTCATGTTGTGGGTCGTTGAACTCTTTCGTTCGTTCCCTTCTATGGTGACATTTAAAGTCTGTTTTATTCTTGTACTTCAGTAAGACCTTTAATTGTGTTTTTGTCATGATTTTTTTTAATTCTGTAGAAAGTAGCAAAGGCCGGTGCTGTGGACAGACTGACCGACACGTCCAAGTACACCGGATCACATAAGGAGCGATTCGATGACTCTGGCAAAGGAAGAGGAAAGACCGGGCGTGTGGACATCCCAGACACCAGTGGTTATGTCGGAGCTTACAAAGGCAGCGGCACTTATGAAGACAAAATGAAAGAGCACAACGCCTAGTAGAATGAAATCTTAGACAAACTGTATTTAAATGAAAAAAGGAAATAACAGTAGTGACAGAAATGTACTAAATATATAAAGTTCATATACACACCCAGTGTTTAAATCAGGGGTCCCAAACTCCTGATCATTTTAGGGGAGAGCCATCAGTATTAGAATGTTCAACACCAAAACCCCAGATACTTTTATTTTTTGTACTGCAAGTACTGCATTATCTACACTACAGTAGATTGCAAACATCTTTACAGCATTTAACAGAAAAAAAGTGATATCTTAAAAATATGTTTTTAATTGAAAAAAATTAAATTGAATAAAAAAATACCTAAACAATATTGGCATTCACAGGGCTAGATGTTGGAGTGGAGAGGGGGTTCCGATAACCAGAGGTTTGAGACCTCTGATTTAAAAACGTTGACACTGATTGACAACTGATTATATAAATATGACTGTGTTGCAACAGTGGACATTAAATGAATAAATGTAATACATCTAGAAGCATTAAAGCATGTAGAGAAATTAAAATTACATGTGATGTGAACAGAATTGTACTACTATGGACCTGAAGAGTCAGAATCACTTGTATTCGTGCATGATTTGTTGACACTAACTCAGCTTTGTCCTGCCACTAACTCTGTGCCTTAACGCTGCCTCAGCCTCTGCCCTGGTTTTACTGGTGTCATTTGGCATTTGCTGCTTCTTCAGCCTGGTGCATTAAAAAAAAAAAAATACAAATTTAGTGCCATTCAAATGCCGCTTCACAGTTCTAACAAAATGTAGTAGAACTGAGTTTAGAACACATTACAAAAAAGTGAACAAAAGATTTAATGCATACACACAGTACTATTACAGTGAGTACTGAATACTCACTTTTTAATGTTTCACTTTAGTATTCTACTGAATTCTTACTGCTCCAAAAGGTCCTTTAAAATAGTTTTATTCCATAGGTATTTAAAAAAAAGAATGTTCAGTCAAATGAATGAATAAATTGCTATATAATAAATTTAATTGGGGCACATGGAAATGACCTGTGTAAGCAAAAATATGAATGAACAATATAAATAAAACTAATGGACAAAGACGTTAGGCGTTGTTAAATGTATACTCCCATCTCTCTCTGTGTCTTACTTATAACAACATGCTCTGTGTATTCACTTCCCACTGCTCTAATGCACAGATGACAAGCAGGTTGTCATTAACACACACTACAAAAAAATTTATTTGTTTCACTGCCGCACCTCAAGCCTAAAATACCACCTTAACACCCAGCGTGCATTCAGGTCCGAAGCCCTGCCTGTAACACAGCTGACAGGTGTCGTATGGATTACAGGGGACTGAAGTGCTGTTAATATTGTTGAGGACAAATGTTTTATATACGTTTTAAAAATAACTCTTGAGACGTTCTACAAGCCACCATTAAGATGCACCGAAATGACTGAACTCCACCAACCCAATTAAAATAATGCAGTTCTTCTTAACATTTTTCCATATTATAATTCCATCATTTAGACTAGTCACAAATACAACAGGTGTGAAACACAGACATCTACCTGCTGTTATTAGTCTTTCTGTTCTGGTTCCAGTGTTGGTGGTTGGAATGGTGATACATCCTGTTTAATCACAATTATGACTATAGCTATAGCTATTAAAGACTAACTTCAAAAAAATTAAGAACACCTTTTTTTCATAACAAATGGCAATTCAAAGACAACTTTTTTATACAATTTTAAAATAATAAAAACCTTGCAACTTTTACAAATTCAGCATTCTAGGACAGACCTGAAAAATAACACCAACACAGGCTGTTTTCAGAGGATAATCAGTATATAAGTGATGCATCAGCTTTTCATTCTCTACACTGTGCACTACAGACATGGTCTGATAAGACTGGACTCTGTGAATGCTGCTGCTGTTATGTTTTTGTTTTTATTCTTGATTGCTTTATCTCAAAGTAATGTGCACTATAATAAAGTAGCCATCTACAAAAAATGAAGTTCACAATCTTAGAAAATCGTTACATAATATCGTCTAATCTTGGACACAAACCTGTCCACCCATAGCTTTATGCATCTTTATACTGGAATTCTCTTGGTGAGAGTCACATTTGTTATAACTGCTTTAAAAACAGCCTATTCAGACTCACATAACACACAAAAACACCCACCCTCACATGACACAAACAAGTACACATATACCCCCCCCGCCCCCCCTTTCCACACACACAAACTAGGCCATCATATAGAGTGACGGGTTCATAATGCTGTGAGCTTATCACAAACAAAACACCAGAGAGATCTTATCAGCTAACGTGACACCACTGACCCACTCTATACCATAATGTATATTCTTATCTCAAGCTTTCTGAGATACAATTCAAAATAATACACTGGGGAGCAGAGGCGCCCACTGAAATATATTTAAACAGGTCACAGAGGAACCAGTGACCACTGACGAGACACCAACTCTACATGACTGCCCGTCTCCACAGGACAGTTATTCTCTGCTGGAGACACTGATTAAATTGAACATCACTCCCAGGCCGGTGCATAAAGAGACTGGAGAGAAGATTCCCCCTGGTGGACTCCTGTAAGTGATCATTTTTTCTCTATGTAGCTGTTTGTGTTATATATGGTCCAAGCTGGACAATATTTAGTCAAAAAAAAATTTTAATTCTATTTCAAACATTTACCAAACGTGGCCACTGATTTGATTAATTCTGTACTGGATCAACACATCAGTAATTAATCAAATGGTGGAACAGAACCAGGTTTGCTTTAAAAGGTGGCCGTTGGTCCCAGAATGAAAAGCTACTTTTCCCCCCAGACTTGTATATTGTCTGCAGGAAAGTCATTGTGCTGTAAGATGAGAAACACACGACACACTCTGTTTGTCATCGGACTTCTGTGGAGCAGCGTGAGAGCTGAAATCACCATTAGCAGCCTCAAAGCTGCAGCAGGTTAATAATCTATCGACACATTCTGTACACTGTTGAATAAACTCTGGTGTAAGTGTTTAAACCTAAGACACTTTCTTTCTTCTTTACCCAGTTGCGTGGGAGGGGGAGGTGACCTGCCACAAGTGGGACTGTGAGTGTGCCTTCAGGCAGCTAGGCTGCTGCTGCGCCAGCAAAGACCTCCAGGAAGCAGACGACCAAATCTCATCGAGACTGATGAGCCTGTCATCAAGACTTTCCAACTTAGCTGACAACGTCCTTGAAGACATAGGTAGTCCATCATGACACAGACAGAAGCTGTCCAAGTTTTAATCCAGTTGGTGTTTGCGTGTATTCCTTTTTTATTTTTAAATATAGGACAATACAAAGTCCAAGTTTTAATCCAGTTGGTGTTTGCATGTATTCCTATACATATACATTTACATGGAAATACTGTATTTCCTGGACTATAAATCTGACTTTGTTTTCATCCGTTGGCTGGGTTTGTGACTTATACTCAGGTGCAACTTGTATATTAAAATATATAATTTCACATGTTTGTTATTTTCACACTGACAGCCACTAGAGGGCACTGGTGCGACTTATACTCTGGAGCAACCTATGTTTTTTCCATCTTCATTACTCATTTTTTGGCTGGTGCGACTTATAGTCCAGAGAATATAGTAGATGGAATTATAGCTAGGTGGCTAATTTGCATCTCTATGGTTTCATAGGTTGGCGGTTGTCAACATTAAAGAATATATTGTGGACACTATACATAGCACACTTAGGAACTAGGAACACTATATCAATAGGTATAAACTGTATTGACGTAGTATATACTCGCTACTGCACAAATAAAGATTTATTTGTTTTGGACAAGTAACTGTTACTAGATGCTGTCGTTAGCACAAAGAACAAACAGAATTTTAACTTAACTGCTATATAATACCATTCATTCTGCTTCACTTCAACAGGCAGAAAAGAAACAGACAATAGGAAATAGACCAACAGTATGTGTTGATTTACCAGTTACATTATTGTTGTGTATCATCATTTACGTTAACATTCCTTTAGCACTAAAATGACGACAGTAATGGTCTGTTTCTTACAGCTGCAAAATTTACATATGGTAAAAATATCCCAGATGATTGGTCAGTAACCTACTAGTTAATAATGCTGGTTTCTGTTTGTCATGTTAGGAGGTCTACAGGTTTCCTTCACTGCCACCATGAGCCCCAGAACAAGTTGTTTTGGACCCTTCAACAACAACTTTTCTATCCCTTATGATGATGTCATTCTCAATCAAGGACATGGTTATAACCCTGCTTTAGGTACGTAAGTACACACACACAGTACATGGCTGTCATACAGCACTGCCGTGGCCAGTCCTTAAAATATTTTTAAATGTGTATTTTCATGTCCTATCAGTTGGTCTATTATTTAGAAATCCCATTACATGTTTTATATTTAGAACATTTTCTAAATATTTGAATATTATGTGAATAACGTATGAGTGGTCAAAATGACCACGATGGTTGTTCTGGCTGTTACAACTTCTGGTAGTATCAGTGTTAATATAAAAGCTCTTCTTTCCGTTTGGCTTGAACACTCCAGTAGGTGGCGATGTATAAGCAGAGAGATAGACCAGCCTCCAGCAACAGCAAAAATTAGTGGTATTAACTGAAATTGTTGATGCGTTGCAACGCATCTTATGGTAGCGATTGATTTCAACATTTCGGATGTTTGTTCAAGTTCAGATATACTGACTCTGTACCAACTTAAACACACCAAGTAAAGAAAATGTTTTTCTTTCAGGCGTATTTACAGCACCTCGAGCCGCACTGTACTCCTTCTCTTTTTCGGTGTACTCTAAGGTGGAAACGGGTGAAAAACTGTCCTTCAAAGCCCAATTAATGCGAGATGGGGAGGCAGTGGTCTCCACTTGGGAGGATAACAGGGAGGACCCAGAGGACAGCAGCACACAGACAGTACTACTGTCTCTGGATCAGGGCTCCCAGGTCTACGTGCAGCTCCTGATTGGCCGAAGGCTGTGTGGGGACGGTGCAGGCCTCAACTCCTTCTCTGGTTCTTTAATTTATCCTCTTCATTCCAAAAATTATTAATATAAGTGCTGTTTACTACTGTAGAACTGATGTGATCAAGTGTGGAGAAAGACACAAAATGGTAGTATTAAAGGATCTTTAAATAAATAAACAAATACTGAGTTGTATTATGAATCTTCTACAGCTTTTCTCTTCAGGGGTCGCCACAGCAGATCATGTCCATCTCACGAAGAGAGTTGAATCTATTTGAAGTAAATGTCTGTCAACAATAGTTCACATCCTGTTCCCCTTAAACATGGTTTTAAATGGAGAAAGATTTTAAAATGCAACAACAGTTCACCGTTTGTGCAGTCGTTTTTCTCTACGGACTGGTAAACTGTTCAAGGTGTACTCTGCTGCCCCCAAGTGGTGATGGTGATTCCTTGTTTTGGTCATCTATTGCACTCCCTTCTCCAGGCGACGATGTCATGCTGTTTTTGACAAATAGTCTCTAACATTCACAGTAATTTCAAATATCGAAAAACATCTCTGTCCCCAAAGGGGAGCATGACAGAAAATAACTGAGAACCACTGCCATAGACTACGGCGATAGACACTTCTAGTGTGATTCTTAGAATACTGTTCATTATTAAAATATCAGTAATAGTACTGGTAAACATAGATTCCATCTTTGTCTTCGCTCTTCTTGCTTATGTAATTGATATTTGGGGGGGGGAAAAAGAAAAGGATTCCTATGTTGAAATTCATCAAATATTACCAGATTTCCTTACCACTAGATGGCAGTAGTGTACAGCTAATACTAACTCAGTCTTACGAGAATTGGTCTTCTGTCAGCAGCGTATCCTGTCCTCAGACTGCATACTGAAGGGTGTAGATGAGCATATGAATGACGAGATGGAACTGCAAAGGTTTCAGTGATGATGATGACAGGGTCAGGAAAATCAGAATGAACCACAGGTCATTAAAAAAATACTCCTAGTGTTTCATTAAAATACATGTATAAGAATGGATGTTTGGTTTGGTTGTAGTTCAACATTGACACAGGACTAAAGTGTTACTGCAGTAATGTTAGTGAGGATGGGGGTCTGAAGCCGGGGAAGAAAATAAAGTGGGAGGAGAGTTAATAGAGAAGATGTTGGGATGGAGTGACGGAGGTAATGAAGGGGGTATTTTACATTTAGGTTATTTGATTCAGCAAATTGATCCAGGGTAGAATAAAAGGTTTTAGATGGAGGATGCAGTGTAATAGAAAGAACAAGAGGTACATTATATAGACAGTGTTAATGTAACGGTGAAAAGGCAGTAAAGGAAAATGTATTTAACAAAACAGATAACTGAGGAAAGTGAGCTTTGTGAAGCGGCTAGCACGGTATCGAACGTTAAAAAAAGTTGATTGTATTCAATGTTTTCAACTCTGCTTATATTCCAGAGAGAGAGAAAGAAAGAGAGAGACAGAGAGGGAGAGAGACTGTATGTTCCCATCAAGACAGTCTGCTTTGACAAGGCAGACATAAGGTGGCCGCTGATCGATGTTTCATAGATTTCTTTTGTTTCTTGTCACCAGTTCAGTCATTTCTTTCAACTTCTCCTTTTCATCCCCATTAAAAGACAGTAAACATGATGGATGTGCTCTCTAAAGGTCCAGTCAGCTGATACTATTCACTGGAGAACAGCAGATTTGTTAACTCACCCTCGAGAGATATTATTAGGCCAACTACCAAACCATGGTGATAAGGAAATAGGACTAAAATAATAAGAGTTATAGTCAATCTATGGTGTGTGTACCAAAAAACAAACCCCAAAACAAAACAAAGTTGAGTCGGTCAACCGCAGCTGACTTAAGGTTTTAATTAAAAAAAGATGACAACTTTTGGTTTATGGCAATATCTAGTGTAGACCAACAGTGGTACTGAAAATAATATATCCCGGAGACTTCAAAAACAAGACCGGACAAGAACATCCATCTTATATATAGAGTCTCTGTAATTAAAACACCTGTTCTCCAAAGGAATAAAAGAGAACAATGGCTGCAGAGAAAACCAGGTAGGCAAAAAGAAAAGACAAAGCAGAGAAGGTGAGATATATGTATGTAGAAACACTGGCTATTCAACACGGCTAACGCTAACATCATTCTTCAAGTGCCAACGGTATAATGCCGTTATTCAGTAGACATAGATTATCTTATATTTTTTAATTATAGCTAAAAGGCTCTCTTACAAAGGTTCCAGGTACAGAACTTCAGGGTATTGAACTTCCTGACTGTCTATTAGTGAAAATATAAGCCTCTTCATCACTTTCCTCGTCAGCTCAGCCCGTCTATCAGACAATGTCACTGTCTCGACACAGTCCTGTAACCCCGCCTCCTTTTACTGATGCCACTCTTCTGCCACAAATCAGTCTCCCCTGCCCTGGCTGCACCTCCATTTGGTTTGATTTAAAACAGTGGTCCACAAGTTCTTGAACTCATCTGCCTTCATTTAACCTACTACAGTACTCCTGTCATATTACCTTCCCACGCTGAACTGAAAAAGGTTCAGAACTTGCCGACCTTAAAACCACATACTATGAAAAGAAGATCTGACCTCAACATACATGTTCCTCCTCAACATAATGTACTTCTCTGCCTCTTTTTAGTACCTGTTTTTTCCTCCTTATTCTATGATTATGAGCACTTGGTGAGGAGGAAGAGACGATGGCTGGGCAGCTCAAAACCAATCAGAAATGATACAGAGGTTCCTGTACATCAGTACACATGTCAGTCACCTACGCTAACACAGTGGTGACATCATAATCTAGGACATCAGAAGAGTCTGACTTACACCTGGGAGCCATAATGAAGGACAAAAAGACCATACCGGTGTGAACATGGTGTGAGAGCATGGAATTAGGTGTCTGTGAAAACATGAAAGGACAGAATGTCCAAATGGAACAAAAAGTTTTGATTTTTCACTTTTGAGTACAACTCAACCCCCTCCCCCCCCCCAAAAAAAAAACACTGCAAAACTTAATTTTTTATGCTTAATAAAAACTCAAGACTTTCAGCTATAAAACGAAGACCAAAATACTAGAATATCGAGCCTGGTTTTAAACCCTCAGGTGTCACCGCTCAAATGTTTTACTGCTTGCGGTTCACCATGACGGACATTCAAGGTAGAAGGGCCGTTAGTGTCCTTCACACCGCCTTAAATTTACAGGTAGTTAGTTGACTTTTTAACCCTTCTTTTCTTAACACAATTCCTTATCCGAGTGCCTTGAAGACTTCCTATAAATCATTCAATGTCCAAGGTAATGTTTGTCTCCGGTGACAGGGTATTTGCATCACATTAACCTTTTTCTGTGCCGTTTCGTCCCCTCTCTGATTGTCGTCTACCATCACCGTTTTATTATTGGGCAACATCCAGCGGCAGCTGCTAACCTGCTCTCAAACAAAGCATTATCACACACACACACACACACACACTCTCTCTGCTGTACTTCAAATGAACTTCTTTGACGGTAACAAATTGGATGTCAGTCATGCAGAAGGTTCCAGAAGTAATCATGAGATAGTGAGTGTTCAATTGAGTGGTTGGACTGTATGTGTGTGTGAATCTCTTTATTTGGTCGTAAAAGGAAGTTGGATTGATGGAACGGCATGTGGAAACTGAAACTTTTTATAAAAATGGAACGGTAAACGAACGTAATTACCCCATCGAAGCAGAAAAATGCAAGTTGATGTAAGAACAAATAGATGTGGCAGTGAATAAACATGTCAAAACAGATCTCCTGAAGAGTCCTTAAGACTTAGAGCAAATTAGAGACGTGTGAGAGATGAGTGAAAAAGTAAGAGATCTTTTAAATCAGCGGTGCACATCCTTTTTCCCTTTTTCCCCCCACAGAGGGGTTAAATTTCCCCCCCCCCCCCCCCCAGTTGGATGCAACTGTATTAGCAGCATCCTTGTAGCATCACTCTTGTCTTTTAATGCATAACACTTGGTCTCCAAGTGGTGAAGCAGGTTTGAAGGCTTCATTGCCTCATTAAAGAGCCGCTAGCCGCGTATTACGTAGCTCGAGCTCTGTGCGTGGTAAAAACCTGTTGCAATAAATCCATATTTCGCATTGGACTCCTGGAATTGTCAGTTAAATGGAGCTTTTTTTTCTGTTAAGACTCTTTTACCCTGCACAAAGAAACTTTCCAGAGACGTTTGTTTTCTGTTCATTTTGCTAGCTCGGGGGTGTCAATTTAGCAGTAATGTATTATGCGTTACCGGCCGGAGCAGACCTTTTAAGAAGGTAGTTTGAGGCAAGAATCTCGACATGTATCAAGTGTGAGTCGTAGATGTGGCGGAGAGAATCTGGTAATTTTTCAAAATAAAACATCGTTCAGAATCAGATGCGGCCCAGTACCACTTGACCCACAGAACGTCAGCCTAGGTTAGGACCAATGTTTTAAATGACTGCATTAAATACTAATGACTGATTAGTATTTATTGCTTGGTGTTGAAGATGAAGCATGAAGCATGTGTCAGTGGCTTAACTGTAGCTAAAGATACAGTTAAGTAAAACAGTTCTCTCTCTCTCTCTCTCTCTCTCTGTCCGTCTCTCACCCTCTGCCCATCTTTTTCCTCCATTTGACCTAATGTGACTGGTTTGCCATTTGAAACGTTTCCATTAGTTGGCACATATTTATTGACAGTGACCTCTGCTGGGATTTGAGAATCCAAGCGTTTGACTTTTAGGTCAAACCAGTGGATTGGATCAAGTGTCAACATTTCAATAATGCAGTTGATGTGTAAAATAGACAACACTCGCTGTTTACTGAAGTGTGTAGGAAGATTGAGTGTTTATTTTTTAAAAGTTCTTTCATAATTGCCACAAAAAGCATCAAAATAAAAGTTCAATATTTCCATGTAGTCCTTGGCTGCAGGCAGGAGAAAATGTATTGCTGTTTGCTGAAACATGATCTGGAATGGTCTGTGGTGTCCTTCTTTGAAAGCATGATGGTTGGTTTGGAATGTTTCCCAATGTTTGTAAAATTTGCTGACTGACATCTTGAGTAATGCTGAAGCTTCAGCTTCCAGTAAACCCCTGGCATCTCTTGTCAGCACTTCAATGCTCGTCTGTGTTTTCTCCTCTACTTTTCTCTATTTGCCTGTCATTTATATTCAAAGCATTGTCATCTGAAGTTCACTTCTTTCCATTTATGTACAGAAGTGTCTGGTGTTCTTTGTTGTCATTGTTCAAACTACAGTTGTGGAAACTCAGATTCATACACAAAGTCATAGGGCTGTCAATCAGTAGACTTCAACTGATTAATCATAGCCTAGCTTTGAGTTAATCATGATTAATTGCTCAATTGAATTGAGAGTATATTTGTAATAGTACTAGTGACAGTAGCTTTTAGAATGTGTGGATATTTGCCATCCAAACCTTGGTGAAACCGACCACATATAAACTGATCTCCAGTTTCTCTCCAATCCATTTGCCAGTTGTCTCAGTCAGCTTGTCAGCCAAAACACCAACTGCTCTGCACTCTGGGAGTCTGGTCTGACGTAAGTCGAGAGCCTCACCTGAATTTGAAGCCTGCAGGGTGTGCACATGTGTATCCACTGGGTACTGGAGCAACCTCAGGTGGATTGCAGTGCAGCTGAATGCCACGCATTTAGAAAAACTGGGGATCAAATTCTTTATACACTTTGACATCATGGTCATACGAATAATAAAAGCAAGTGTAAAAAACACACTACAGCACCTGCTTACTGTGTAATATACAGAGAGGCATACTCACTGTTACACTAGGGCTTTTTCAAAATGGAGTTCTAGATTAGAGGGGCTTTTTCAAAATGGAGTTCTAGATTACCTTTACATATCTAGTTAGTGAGTGGTGCACACCATGGATCTAAGTTTGGAAAAAATACCCCAAAAAACAGAATGAAATGATGATTTGTCTGATAACAATGGAGTCATTCAGGTGTTTGTTTAGCTTCTCTCCTGACAAACTTGGCACAAAAAGGCATTCCTTTGTAAAATCTATACAATGTGATGGCCGTGATTTGCAATTCAACGGGGAGGAATTAGGAAGAAATAGGCAATTAACGGGCTTTTGGGAAATTGATGATGTAAGTGGTGTAAGTAGTACACTTTGCCTTTTGTTTCTGGGGGGTATTTAACTACAACTCCACTCATTGTCACACAAATAACCAGGCGTTACTGCAGTATTAAGCCCCATACACCACCAATGGTGATCTGTGGTATAGCCTTTAGGACACCTGGAGGATTGTTCCATTTCCCAACATCTTGTTTCTCTGATGACACTTCACTGCTGTTTAGGCCATTTCCTGTGCAGCATCATGCCACTGTAGGACTGAGCCAAAACAAGTGTTTCAATTGTGTTTATAGTCTGTATAAGGTCAATGGGTTTTTCTTTAGTTTTTTTTTTGCAATAAACAACTGCCTTATCTCAAACTATAAATATATCCCTCGGAAACCGAGGCAGACCAGGAATAAATAAACCACAGAGAGAGAGAGGATGTGTTACATTTTTTAAAATAACTTCTGTCAAAGATCTATATTGTCTACGTGTGAACCGAATGTCACAGAAAGAAATGTTTTCAATGTCATTGAACAGAACTTTTGGCAACTAGTGTTTGTTTTATTTCTTTGGCAGTTTGGAACGTTGCCTCCTTTGAACTGCTGCCTTCTTTTGCCTTTAAGCCAAAGAACCACTC